TGCCGACCTTCGTTAATCAATGAACAGTAGCGCACCACCGAACGCCCCTCCGTACCCCGCTCAAAATCGGACACTCATTCCAGGTACGTTCATGATAATATTGCACACACATGAATAATTTCATGGAGAAATTATAAGGCTGCATGCGTTACCAAGTTAGGTCGTGATGCAGTTGCTGAGGCTTTTTGGGGGGGAAGGTCGCGGAAGTTCCGAATGTATTTAGAGGTTGAACCCCCCCCCCCGACCACGATATAGGTGATCTAAGATTTTTAAAGGCTGCCAACAAATTGGCCGAGTCACCGATTATATTTCGGGGAATGTATTTTCCGGTCCTCACTTAACGGCTCTTTCCGGAGCATACTGGATCCCAGTAAACACCAGGGTCTGTGAACAATTATACATCCGTTTCAGCTAGTCACAACTGCGCACACCAGTCGGTGCCGATGTCGATAAACTTCAATAACATTTGCAACAAATTAGGGCTGGATCACTCCATATTTCTTTGGTATAATCACCCCTACTTAGTCACTCCATGACCCATTCAGTTAATGTATCAGTTTCCTACAGAATGTCACCCAAATTGACAGAACTCAGGTATAGAAACCAAGCATTTGAATGTGCACTAATGTTCCTGTGTGCGGATCTCTGAGGTCTCATCGTTTGGATGCCTGTCTGTTCACAGAATCACCTGGGTCAGGTGGGAACGTCGAATAAGTAATTCTAAGGAACACCAAGTAGTTTTCAGGTAATGCGCTAAACAGAACCTAGGAGAGCTACTCAAAGTCAATACCGGATGCTTCATGTGTTTCAGACCAAAATCTACATCAGTGGGTTGGATGTTTCCAACAGTGGCTCGACTGGCACTCAGTTGCGGCACTTACGTCCATTTGATCCGCTCATTCTGAACCGTGGCCTATAATACCCTACCAGTTTCTAGATTGCTACTATAACTTTCCGCCCCATAGAGCCCTTGGGATTCTGGGCCGGATGAACTTTGCCTAGCGTTATTCCCCCTGGCTAGGTTGCACAAGGGGATGCTGCACAATAGCTAAGCCAATGGCTGGTCTTGAGGAACCAACTGTTCTAGTCATGAAGGCACAATTGTCATGCCTGTCAACACGGACACAGACATCCCCGACGACATGACACGTATTCTCGACCTAGTAGACGCAATTCCGAGAGCATCAAACGGGGCTTCGCTCTTGTGGAGGTTCTACTGGCCCTTCAGGATTTCCAGCTCCCTTGTGCTTCTCTACCGTCATGAGAAGACTGGAATTTACCGTGGTGTGACGGTTTTCGCACCGCATCGATCCACTGAGCTGTACTGAAGGGTGTCCCTGCAACACTCACAGAGTCCCTCATACCAGGTTGCTCAATGGTTAAAGGTCTGACAAACGCAGTATTCTGGCACACAGGTTGGTGGTTGAAACATATGGCGACTTATTCCGTAAAAATGGTAATGCGTTAGCATTTCCGGCCAAACACCGCTGCCTTTTGGTTAGGCTTTTGAGCCAAAGGCTTTGACTGAGGACCTAATCGTCCTCCTGTCTAGGTGTGGGCGCCCTGGCAGTATCACAGCCGTCGTACAATCATGACATTTACAGATGACAATACTCTCAGGCCACATCGGCCATCGCGTGGTGCCATCGTCCGGGTCCTCTTACTCGCTTCATGCAGCAAGGCACGTAAGCCAAAACAGGCCACCGCTGACGCCTCCATTCTTTCTCTTTCATATACTTTTTCTTCCCCCCGCCCTTCTCATCCCATTGATAACTCTCTCCGTGTAAGTCTAGCACTTAGGACTGATGACTCCACTCGTCTTGCATCGGTTTCGCGCGCAACGTCTACTCGTCACATGGCGCCGACTTCCTCAGGTACCTCCAAATCAATCTTCAAGTCTCGATACCCAGAACATCTGGCCGCCTTCAATGTCCGCACTCTGAAGCAAGCAGGACAATAAGCTGCTCTTGCACTCACACAGGACTCACTTGGCATTTATGTGTGCCCTGTTTCAAAAACGATGATTCAAGATGCAAGCATAGTGATTAAGTTAACTGCTCCGTCAGTCTCCACTTGATTTTGGCTGCGCACCTCTGGTGATCCAGAGGCTGTTGCGGCGAGATATGCAGGGGTTAGTATCGTGCTTAGTCACCGGGCGGAAATATTCTTGCTTGACTAGGTACTCGGTGATAGTCGCCTCTGTGTGGTTCGCCTGGCCTGCGCACCTTGATCCAGAGGCTGTTGCGGCGAGATATGCAGGGGTTAGTATCGTGCTTAGTCACCGGGCGGAAATATTCTTGCTTGACTGACTAGTCGGTGATAGTCGCCTCTGTGTGGTTCGCCTGGCAACGCCTGTGAAGGAGCCTCAGAAGCGGGAAGTTGATGGATGTCTGCTTGTCGTGTCCGTTTACTCCCCAGCTGACTAGCTCCGACGCCGTCAAAGACATGTTATGCGACGCCATGAATGCCCTGCTGCGATGAGCTAAAGGCTCAGATATGGTGGTGGTAGCCGGAGATATGAGTACACAAGTGAGCAGGCTTGGCCTATCTGAGACTCAACTAGGAGGTCAACATGGACTGGACTCGGTACGTACGGACAGCTGTAAACGGTTGCTTCAGCTGTGTGCTGGTCGCAGGCATACCGGCCACAAACGCAAATCGCTCACGTTGCCACTAGCTACCGATAGCGCAGATCAATAACTGACTGTCGGTCGTTTTTAAACACGTTTGTGGATCCTGACCACACACTTGTCCGGAGTCGCTTCTCCCTACGTCTCCCCGGGCCGCGTCAGGTGCGGACGAATAGCTTCGCAACTGAGAAACTGGCAGATCCTAATATTGGACGAATTTACCAGAATCGTCTTTCAGGGTCTCTTCCAAATGCTCTACTATCAGGGGTTAACGTACACGAACTAGATTGCTACCTCTTTGCATAGCGCTAGGAATTTCGCCTGTGGTACGGCACCACCAGGTGCACGCAAGCACCGGATATCAGACCGAAGAGTGCTCAAATCTCGAAGGAATATCCCAGCCGCTCTCGAACATAACTCGTTGCGTGGAATTATCAGACGTCAAGTGAAAGTGAGCGTGCAAGCCGACTGTCAAAGATGATGAACAGAGAAAACCAAAGAAATGGAAGAGGCCCAGAAAGCTAGTAACGCCCGAAGATTACTTTAGTTGATCAGTTCGACCGGTCCCCTGAAACCACCCGTGAGCGAAACCATCAAGCATCAGAATGAAACGACCATCTCGAATAAAGAGCGCCCCTACCAGTGGGCTGAACACTTCGACCAACGACTCGTGGCCACCAGTTGGCACTGTTAGAGCCCATAGGTGAAGTAGAGCCCTGGACGATGAACATGGAACCACCTACGGCCTCGAAGGTTTATGACTGCATGTGTTCTCTCAAGCACCACCGAGCCTCTGGTCCGGATGACCTCCCACCCGCATGGTTCAAAGATGGGGGTGAAGTCCTCAGTCAGCGCTTGTCCGATCTGTTTGCTTGCATTTGGAAGAAGGAGTCTGTCCAAGACAACTGGGGAGAATCGGTGATAGTGCCCGTTTTCAAAAAAGGGGCGCGTAGTGACTGGCAACCACAGGGGGATCAGCTTGACCCCGGTCATAACGAGACCGTTGGCGTCAATTGTGATTCATCGCCTTACGGTGGCTTGTGAGACACTGAATCGAGAGCAGTAAGCCGGATTCCGGCCTTGTAGGGGTTGCGCTGACCAAATCTTTACACTCTGTTAGGTGCTAGGACAACGCCACACGTATAAACGACCCACACTTTTAGTATTCCTGGATTTCCTACCGAGAACCGACCGCACTATTGTGCTCAGATGTAGTCATAATAACTGGAGGTTTCAATGATTAGGTAAATAATAATAATAATCGTTCAGCTGTAGCGCCCTTTCGGTGCCTAGCTGCCATGCCACCCGAAGGAAGCAGGAGGGCTGGGATACTGCCAGGTTGCCCAGGCCTAGACAGGGGAAGTCGAGCCTGTGAAGGAGCCTCAGAAGCGGGAAGTTGATGGATGTCTGCTTGTCGTGTCCGTTTACTCCCCAGCTGACTAGCTCCGACGCCGTCAAAGACATGTTATGCGACGCCATGAATGCCCTGCTGCGATGAGCTAAAGGCTCAGATATGGTGGTGGTAGCCGGAGATATGAGTACACAAGTGAGCAGGCTTGGCCTATCTGAGACTCAACTAGGAGGTCAACATGGACTGGACTCGGTACGTACGGACAGCTGTAAACGGTTGCTTCAGCTGTGTGCTGGTCGCAGGCATACCGGCCACAAACGCAAATCGCTCACGTTGCCACTAGCTACCGATAGCGCAGATCAATAACTGACTGTCGGTCGTTTTTAAACACGTTTGTGGATCCTGACCACACACTTGTCCGGAGTCGCTTCTCCCTACGTCTCCCCGGGCCGCGTCAGGTGCGGACGAATAGCTTCGCAACTGAGAAACTGGCAGATCCTAATATTGGACGAATTTACCAGAATCGTCTTTCAGGGTCTCTTCCAAATGCTCTACTATCAGGGGTTAACGTACACGAACTAGATTGCTACCTCTTTGCATAGCGCTAGGAATTTCGCCTGTGGTACGGCACCACCAGGTGCACGCAAGCACCGGATATCAGACCGAAGAGTGCTCAAATCTCGAAGGAATATCCCAGCCGCTCTCGAACATAACTCGTTGCGTGGAATTATCAGACGTCAAGTGAAAGTGAGCGTGCAAGCCGACTGTCAAAGATGATGAACAGAGAAAACCAAAGAAATGGAAGAGGCCCAGAAAGCTAGTAACGCCCGAAGATTACTTTAGTTGATCAGTTCGACCGGTCCCCTGAAACCACCCGTGAGCGAAACCATCAAGCATCAGAATGAAACGACCATCTCGAATAAAGAGCGCCCCTACCAGTGGGCTGAACACTTCGACCAACGACTCGTGGCCACCAGTTGGCACTGTTAGAGCCCATAGGTGAAGTAGAGCCCTGGACGATGAACATGGAACCACCTACGGCCTCGAAGGTTTATGACTGCATGTGTTCTCTCAAGCACCACCGAGCCTCTGGTCCGGATGACCCCCCACCCGCATGGTTCAAAGATGGGGGTGAAGTCCTCAGTCAGCGCTTGTCCGATCTGTTTGCTTGCATTTGGAAGAAGGAGTCTGTCCAAGACAACTGGGGAGAATCGGTGATAGTGCCCGTTTTCAAAAAAGGGGCGCGTAGTGACTGGCAACCACAGGGGGATCAGCTTGACCCCGGTCATAACGAGACCGTTGGCGTCAATTGTGATTCATCGCCTTACGGTGGCTTGTGAGACACTGAATCGAGAGCAGTAAGCCGGATTCCGGCCTTGTAGGGGTTGCGCTGACCAAATCTTTACACTCTGTTAGGTGCTAGGACAACGCCACACGTATAAACGACCCACACTTTTAGTATTCCTGGATTTCCTACCGAGAACCGACCGCACTATTGTGCTCAGATGTAGTCATAATAACTGGAGGTTTCAATGATTAGGTAAATAATAATAATAATCGTTCAGCTGTAGCGCCCTTTCGGTGCCTAGCTGCCATGCCACCCGAAGGAAGCAGGAGGGCTGGGATACTGCCAGGTTGCCCAGGCCTAGACAGGGGAAGTCGAGAGGCAGAGGTCGGGTTCGAACCACGGACCTTCCGGTCAGTAAATTCGCGCTCCAACCACTTGAGCCATCTCGCCCCCAATGATTAGGTAGGACGCCTCAGCTCGTTAGAAACATGCCTCGGTTGTATGTTTAGTCCGAACGAAAAGTGTAGTGACGATAGTTAACATGTTTTGCAACCGTGTGCTGATCATCAACTGTTTTTCAGCAGTACTGAATTTTTGATGCAGTGGGAACCGTTGTGCTATCTGGAATCCTACCATCAGCCCTGGAGTCCGATTGACCACATTGCCATTAGATACCGCTCGCGTGGTTCACTCCATGACTACCAATCCTTCTGAGATACACCTTGTTTCAGATAACTACCTCGTTCGGTGCCGGTCTTCATGAACCTTTTCCAGTAAGCCCCAGAAAAGAGCTTCCCGCTTAGCAGGAGAGAAGCTTTGTGTGCCACATCATCATAAGCATCATCGACAGCATAACCTTAGTGTTCAACCCAAATACTTCACTGCCGTACATTCATGATTTATTTGAAAGCTTTATTGTGAAGAAACTTATAGAAGTGGACGATGAGTGGACATAATCCTGATCTGCCACAATCAGTCCGGGGTTGCCAAAGCACGAGCAGTGGAGATGCACAGGTCGGGTCAGTAAGTTCACGCATTAAGCACTGGTCCATCTCGGAGTCAGGCAATCGGGCTGGAAACTGACAACAAGAACGCTATTGCCATCGATTGGCAGCCATATTTTGTAGCGTCTCCAACAAGGCGCAGTGGAGATCATGCGGTCTCCATCCTGAAAGGCGACTAGCACTGATAGCGCCAAAACGCTTTGTAATCTCTCTCATACCCTACTGCCAAGTCAAACGTTGGCCATCTCTCTGCCTCCGCCACTCTGAAACTGACTTGGAAAACAGCACTCTTTTCGGAAAACGATAGTTCAGCATGTGCAATACATGGCCTAACCAACATAGCTTCTAGTGTGAAGCACATTCTTTAATGGAAGTCTCCGCTGCACAACTGAAAACTTGCTTTCCAATCGCTTCGTTAGGGATTCGCCTACACCGACCCACTTGAGCTATCATCATCATCATCATCATCATATCATCCATCATCAACGACAGCATGACATCAGTGCTCAACACCAATGCTTCACTGCCGTACAGCCATGACTTATTTGAAAGCCTTATTGTAAAGAAAAGAATAAAGGTGGATGGGGGAGGGACTTAGTGCTAGCTTAACACAATCATTCCGAGGTGCCTACACCTCCAGAAATTCACTCAGGCAATCTGGACAGAAACTGACAACAAGAACGCCACTGACATCGGGTGCCAGCCATATCTTGTAGTGTCTCCAACCAGGCACAGCGAGGATCACGCGGTCCCCATCCTGGAAGAAGAAATCATGCCATCGACCGGGTCGCCTTAATCCCCGAATGCAGCAGGATGGGGAAACGAAATCAGACAGTAACTTGGTTCTGACACCATAGCCTGTTTTAGTGGCGCGCTCGCCCAGTCGTATAATAGCACTTCGTACTTTGAGGGTGAGAGACGCAATTCGAAACGCATGGTAACATCACTTAGGTTATTTGGTGTGTTTCTTATCTGAATGGAAACTGAAAGAAGTAGCGCAACATTGGCCAAATATTCAATGAATTTAAGGGCTTCCCAGGAAAGAAGGTCCAAAATTAGGGTGAAAGACAACAAAAGTTTCTCACTTAATTAATCCACTATTAGGTTATGGAGAAAAGGTGACAAACAGTAAGCCTGAAGGGCACCACTTTTGGTCATGTTGGGAGAGTATTCCCAGCAGACCTTAACGCGCCCGCAGGTATATAGTATGATGGTTGGAGGACTGTGAAGAAAATGCGTGGCACACCATTGAAAGATAGACATCCCCACAAAGCAGCGCGACCGAGCCGGACATTACGTTCAGACATGAGAACAACAATTATTGTTTTTCTGTGTGACGATGCTCCAGCAGTTGTCGTGAGGTAGAGATATGGTAAATGCAGCCACGACCCGAACGGAACTCTGCTTGGTTTTCACGGCTCTCCTCACAAAGGTGCTGGTATTCCTGCGTGGGATCATATCTGTGGGCAACTTGGAAGCGATCATGATCAAACGGGCACTCTGATAATTGGCTGATATTCAGATATAACATCTATTTTGAAGACAGGAACGACATCAAATATCTGCTATTCCTTTGGCACTTCCTGTCTTACAAATGGTGTGCACAGGTGATTTCGAGCTGAGTAATTCTCCGTCCTTAGACAAAGCGGAGAAAGACAGTAAAAACCTTATCCCTTCATCTTCTGTTACGACCGAGCCAATAAAGTCCCATTGTGACCTTTGACCTTTATCTTGGAGATATGTATCACTGAGGGATTAAACTTGAATCGGGTCGTGGCCTGGTTCACAACCAAACGCTAAACTCTGCACTCCCGATTTCGAAAAAGTCTGTATTTTGCAGCCTGGCTTATTGTGGCTCCAGTGACAATTTTTTCACGACCTATCCTTAGCAACACTGGATGTCCTACAGATGAATGGTCTCCTCATCGGAGCGGAAAAA